TGGGCGTATCCAACTCATTACACGGTTAGAGCTTGCAGATCGCGCTTATTACTGCCCACTCATCCTGTTGTACTACAGAGACACTGCTGATCGAATGTTCGAAAATGTGTGAGGCCTTCAGATAGGAGGTTCCAAGTTTCACAGTCACGTGGTAGGACGGCTCTCACGGCCGTTTTACGAACATGGCCCATCGGCCTCAGTGGTATTTGTTTCTGAATCCCGAGGCAACGCGAGTCGGCAAATATTGCTGCATGGTGATGCGTGCACCAACTTCTCTGTCACGATGCAGTAACGCTTTTTTGCACAACTTCTAGGGTAAGTGAAATGCAAGTTATTCATCGTGAAATTTAGAGGAGGTACACGGAAACAGGAATTCCTGAGACCTCACACGTTGAAGGTGCAGGCTGCATACCGAAACAGGGGATCACTCTCCATATTCTGTTCGAGGCTGTTTGTGCCGATGGACGAGGTTTAAAAAATGACAATGTGATCCGCACCGTTTAAGTTTACTCTTGGTCGGCACGCTCTATGATGATGAAATTTGGAAATGGTGTGGAGAGGAGACATCGCTGGTGAACCCCATTAGTTATAGGGAACTTTTAAATAGCTCGTTGTAATACGTATGTATGCAGACGAAAATAACTGGCATATCTGACAGCGAACAACTGTACATATCATCGAACAGGAAAACATTATGCTGCTTAGTCATGAAAATGGCGTTTTTAGACAAACAATACATGTTCAACTACTGAGTGCTATCCTGGGCCATTCTCGTCAAAGTTTCTAACCGAATATGGTGGTCTTTTGATCCATTCGGGGAAGCCTACACGATCTGACGAAGAACGGTTGAGCTGAGATCCTTCGTGTTTCAGTGGCAGGTAATTCTTTGACTCTCGACGATTAACCAGTCTTGCACCGTCAGTGCGCTGCGGCGACAGCCGTTGAGTTGTCATCTTTAATTCGTACCCTGATCATCGGAGTCGATGATATCCACCCGTTCACTTTCATGCGTCGTCGCAGCTAGGTACTGATTTCGCTGCTGCCAGATGTGAAATGCTTCATAAGCAACTGTGGTCAAACGCTGTGAGTCGTCTGATTTCTTCGGTTTGGAGAGGCCGTGTTTCACATCCTTATGGAAGTGTTAAACGAACGAATGCGTTATTCACTTAGCTCTTCATTGAGAGGTCGATTTCGCGCTGACAACGGGTGGTGGAGATCTTTGAAGGTCATCCTAGCCTTAGCAATCCTCAGTGTGATAGATCTCCGTCTGTAGATATCCGACTCAGGTCCGTAGAGCGGTTAACCTTCCTTAGAGCGTCATCAACAATAGAGTCCACAATTGCGCGTCCAGATCAATCGTAAGCGAGGATTTTCCACC